TTGGATACCTATATTATTTTGGGGATGGAAAAGTATTTGGAAACATGTAGCATAGCAAAATTCATGAAGGAAAAGAGAAATATTTGGATCTGAAAGACCTAAAGTTTTTATATGACAAAGAAAAATGTAAGACTGAAAGGCAAATGATAGACCAGGGAACATAATTAGCATTTTAAAACTAATAAGGAAAAAAGCAATGGTTATACCAACTGATTTATGAAATAAACACAGTTTATTTGCTAAAGGTTAAATGCAAATGAGCAAGAAACAAAGGAAAATTAACAAGAGCTGCTTCTTTTTCTATTGACTCAGTCAAAATTAGGAAGAATGGTAATAAGCAGTGTTGTGGAGAATGTTGAAAAAGGGGGAGTGTGCATTGTTTAGAGAACCTACCAGTTTGATTTGGGGAGTTTTGCCTCACAAAGTTAACAGGAAAATGCACAGAGATAAAAATATAAGGATAAAGATTTCAGAAAAATAGAAATCTAAGTATCTGTATAGGGAAAGTTATACAGTGGAAAGCTGAACAGCTATTAAAATGCTAATGTGGATGTGTATTTGTAGAGAAGGGGACATGTTCATTATTTCTTGCCTTAAAATAAATTTCCTTTGAGACAGGATGTGATAGTAAGGAAGTGGATGCCAATTTCCCTAGAATCCAGTCTTGCTTACATTTGTAAAAATATATGAACTTCACAATAGTTCTTTATATTTTATCATTTTATAAATTGTGCCTAGGGATAGTTAATTTAAGGAGGGAAGAGAACAAAATCTTTTCAGAAACAATATAGTACTTTTCTATTTTTTTAATATTTCATTTTCTCAAAAATCTTCCTTAGCTATGAATAAAATCTGGTTAAATTTGATAAATCTGAATTGTAGTTTGTTAGTCAAACAAAGCTATAAAAGAACTTGACTGTATTCTTAAATGATGGGGATATATTAGCAGAAATCCTAATAATTGCCCCCCCTCCACATATATGTATTGTTGTACTGCTTTGGAGGTGACCACAGCTATCAGCACAAGAGTGATCTGTCGTTTTCTGTCAGTTAGTCCATACAATATTGTGTTGACACCCCACTGGCTTATTTGACCAAAGCTTCTTCTAGTGCTTTGGGGCTCTTTAGAGTTTCAGAAACAGTTATGGTTTGACCAACATGTAAACTAAAACAATTAAACATTTCTTTTTAATTTCAAAGAACAGTCTTTGGCTGACTTAATCATCCCCAGTGAGGAGAAAGGGACCTTCAATTAAAAATACATTAGCCTGAGACTAACTGTGTCAACACAGCAGTAGTTCAGTAAATATGAAAGCTCTCCATGTGCCCTGAACTCTGGGAAGATGCAGCAGCCCCTCTGCAGGGAGCTGGCAGTTGATGGGTGAACATTAGACTAAACATTCAGGACCCAGGGCAGGGCGACTCAGCCCTGCCACTCACTAGCAAGGAGATCTTAGGGCTTTTGGACCCCCAGTCACCCTTATCAATCCTTTTTCTTTTCTTTTCTTTTTTTAGTAATAGTACTAAGGATTGAATTCAGAGCCTTCACACTGAGCTACCTTCCTAGCCCTTTACTTTTATTTTGAGACAAGTTCTCACTAAATCACTAAGTTGCCCAATCTGTGATTGTCCTACCTCAGCCTCTGAGAGTGCTGGGATTACAGGCATGCTTATTATACTTGGTTTATTAATCATACTTTATACCTGTACTACCTGAGTATTGGGGATTCAGTGACATAAAATAGGTAATGTGCATTGCAAACAGGGAAGTGGATAAAAATTCTCTCCTCCTTAGCAGCATAAATACAAGTTAAATTGGTTACTTCATGTCCTACTTAGTATTTGCAATAATTTGGACATAGGCTAAATTGAAATTTTATTCTTACATATTCATGCTGGAGAATTCTTTGATCATTTGCTTTATTTTTCATGTAATTTTGGAATATATATCCTGATTTGTTTTATTTTGTTTTTCCAACTAATCTTCAGTTTAAAAGACCATACCTACCAAAGAAAAAGACATTTGCTCTTGAAAGAACATAGGAAAATATTGCTCCTAATTCCAGCCTACTCAGCATCAGGAGCAGCCATTAGAAGTATTACATTTCACTACTTGATATAACAACAGATATAAATCCTTGACTGGTTAATAGCTCCAGGCTCTTTGAAGCCATGGTAAAAGTCTCTGACCACAGTGCTTCTCTGCATTTGAGTCATTTCAGCATCACAAGCTCTTCATCTTGGTCTGTCTTGTGCTGCTATGAAATAATTCCTGTGACTGAATCATTTATAAAGAATAGAAATGTATTTGCTCACAATTGTGGAGGCTAGGAGGTCTGAGATGAAGGGACTGCATCTGCAGAGGGTCTTTTTGCGGCTTCATAACATGACAAGGTATCACGTGGTAAGCAGGAGCGGGCCCTTCTCACTTTTGCAACAAACCCTCTTCTGTGATAATGACATTAGCCTATTACCTAATGTCTTCTAAAGGCCCCATCTCTCAACACAGTTACATTTGGGATTAAATTTCCAACACATGAACTTGGGTGGACACATTCGAATCATTGCACTTCTGCTTTTTTTCAAGTTACAAAATATGAATGAAGTCACGAATTATAGTCAGGATACTTGACCTAGACTTACCCCATGGCTTCCTGGAGGCTGGTTAACCATTGTGGAAGATCAAACAGGATTGCTCCATTCAGCCACTTGTGCCAAGAAAGCCTTGCTTTTAGGATTCCTTCAAGTGGCACTTGGATCTGGCTGAGGACCACAAGTAGTTCTAAGAAGCCCAAGCATAGACTGAGCTTAATTCTGTATCTTCTCTGGGAGGAGGCTCAGCTCCAGACTTAAGGGGTGTCTTTTGGCATGGGGCTTAGGAATTCATGTGGAATAAGGAAAGTCCTTTGAGAAAATATGAGCTACTTTCTCAATGAGCACAAGACTGTTGTATTTGACTATAACATAAAAGCAATTTTTAAAGTCTATCTGTAGTGGATAATGATGATAATACCGTATTCTTCAAGTACTGGTATATGTGTATGCACACACAGATCTTTAGATAATCTTAACAAACTGTGTGCTTACAAAGGCTCTTAGGGGCCAGGGATGTAGCTCAACAGCACAGCACCTGCCTGGCAAGCGCAAGGTCCTGAGTCTGATCCCTGGTGCTCCCGAAAAACTAAAAAAATAAAAATAAATTAAAAGGCTCTTAAGATCACACACACATTTTCAAATCCACATATACCATCAATTTGCTTTGAATATCTCTTAGGTATTAGGCTCTGTACTAGATGATAGAAGTTAGAGATACAATGTAATGTAAATTTGGCATAATTTTTCCAGTCCCTTTTCTTAATACTTTAGTGTTCTTAACACCCATTGTGTTATATAGGGTTTTACACTGTATGTATAGTTCTGAACATGGCTTTTTAAAATATTACTCAACAATGTTTTTTAATTCTTGCATTGATTACCCGTGAGTGTACTTTATTTAGTTTTGTATTTTTAAATGTTGTGTGATATTCCATCTTAAAATAGTTAAATTTTGCTCATCCCATTAGTGTGGGAACAGAGGGTGCTTAATCTAACTTTGATTTACAGTATTATAAATAATGCCACCAAAGCATCCTTGGACAGGGTGCTCTGTGGGATAGATATGCACCACTGTTAGAGGGTGGACATATATCTTTGTGCACATGTTTTCCTTCAAAATGGCCACATCTGTGTATTTTGCCACCAGTAGTTTATAAAAATAATTGTTTCCTCAATCCAGCAATATTTGATGTTATCAAAATTTTATTTTTTGGCAGCCTAATGGTTGAAAATCTTATCTCATTTTTCCTTGACACACTTTGAAGGATCCTGCATTCATAATACATCATAATATAATGCTCAAATCAGAGCTAACTTTGCGTAAAAGAAAAATATACAACCAGATGCTTATGATATGTTATTTTCCAATGTAAAAAGCTTTTCAGATGTCATGTAGGATAAAGTGATTCAGCAAATATTTATTAAGCATTCGGTTCCAGGCACTAGGATTACAAAGATAAAGAGATTATGTCTCTGACATCTCATTCCAGTGGAGGAAACAGGTACTTAAGCCAGTGGTTTCTGCCTGTGCTGAAACAGTGAATGTTCTAAGACTACCGAGCACAGAGCAAGGAGAATGTAATCTGAATTCCCTTAATGATGGGAAATGGATGTTAGAAAGTCTCTGATTTCAAAGGGTAGAATGCTACCTTATTTATTTAAAAAGCTTGGCATGCCTTTCTCTTCTATAGTATAATATGTGACAGCAGGCCCCCAAGGGCAGCAGGAGGATGCAGAGAGGTTCTGGTAGCAGAACTTGTCCTCCGCCCCTGGTCAGGGGTTCGTGGGACTCTGCCAACCTCAGCTGAAGTCATCACTGCACCATCACCAGTGAATGATTACTGGCACTTGGCGTCTTTGCTAGTGCTGAGGGGTGCCAAGAAGCGTATGACACAATTCTTGCTCATTGGAATCTCCAAATCCAGAAAAGCAGAGAAGACAATTCATATTTAATGGTTTTCTCTTTAGATACTAAGTCCTAAGAAGAATTAAACCAAATTTGAATGATACTTCCATGTGGCCCACTGACAGTGGAAAATTAACTTTAATACCTAGAGATATGTCAAAGAGGAATATGGTATAGAATCAGACATTTATCTAGGAAGTGAGCTCTATGGAGTTTAGAAGCAAAAATTAAATTGTAAGGCAGATGCAGTACCACAGGCCTGTGGCCCAGTTCTTCAGGAGGGTGAGGTAGGAAGACTGCATGAGCCCAGGAGCTTGAGACCAGCCTGGCAGGCAGGGGAATGAAACTGCATATTTTAAGCTCTTAATATGTGGCCCTATACATAGTAGACATTAAATACACTTTCAACATGGAGGAATGGGACCTAATAGGCTGTTGTTAATACAAAATACATCAAGAAAAATCATGCTTAGTTTTTCATTTTTGTCTTGTTTTCCAGGGCAAGAAGTGGTTTTTAAGTGCCTTGGGGAAGGAATTCTTGAAAAAGCCTTTCAGGGGTATAATGCATGTATTTTTGCGTATGGACAGACAGGTAAGGAGTTGCTTTTATTACTATAATCAATGATATTAAATATGCCTTTTCTCCTATCTTTCTCTCTCTTTTGTAAGCATGAGCTGTCCCACAGAGCTACACCCCTCAGCCCTAAAGATACATTTCTTTTCTTTTCTTTTTTTTTTTTTTTGGTACCAGGGATAGAAGTTGGGGCCTTGCGCCTGCGAGGCAAGCGGCGAAACCACTGAGCTAAATCCCCGGCCCAGATAAATTTCTTAAAGGCTAAAAATAAACAAAAGTTTGAGAAGCAAGAGAAAAATGCTTCTGACTTTATGGGCTTAACTGAATTATATAATCAAAACTAATCTTTTTTGAAGGTGCAGTGGTTCTGGCAATTGAGTAATTTCAATGTTAATAAGCAAAGCTAGTTTCAAACTATTAAATGTCATTTTCCTAAATTACGGTTTTAATTTGTATTTGAACTGGAAAAATAATTGCCACTTTCTCAGTATACATGTTATGGTGAAAACTATAGAGAAACTCTTAGAATCATTCCATGCTGAGGACTTTTGCTAGGATACAGAAGTGATGATGGATTTTTTTTTTTTGGTACTGGGGATCAAACTTGGGTCCTTGCGCTTGCGCAGCAGACGGCAAAACCACTGAGCTAAATCCCCGGCCCTGTGATGATGGATTATTAAATCAAGGCCGGTGGAGCAATTGGTAGAAACAAGCAAAACAAAAGCATAGTAGTGGCTCAGCCATTACCATTCTGAGCTCTGACATTTTTAAAGGTGTTTGGGAGCCAAGTTTTTGTGTTTTTTCTGTCACCTTGGCTGATATATGAGAACTCGTATGGTTGAAGCATTACATGTAGCTTCCTCTTCTGCCCTACTTTCTTTCTGCTTGCTCTTTTCAGGTTCAGGAAAGTCCTTCTCTATGATGGGCCATGCAGAGCAGCTGGGTCTTATTCCCAGGCTCTGCTGTGCTTTATTTAAAAGGATCTCTGTGGAGCAAAATGAATCACAGACTTTTAAAGTTGAAGTATCCTATATGGAAATTTATAACGAGAAGGTTCGGGATCTTCTAGACCCCAAAGGGTAAGTTAGTAGTTGAAATTAAGCTGGTAAGTAGGAGTAAAAATTTTAAGTGATTCTAAAGTTAAAATTGCAAGAATGTGTGGTTGTGAGCCGCTGGTCACTACTCTAGTGTCAGTGCATTTACTGGGAAATCAGCAGTTTTCAAAGCCCATCACTGTGCCAGTGTATGTTCAGTTCATCCTATGGTCGTGAATAGAGCTGTTTATATATGCCTCATGAAAAAATGTTTCTACTATTGGTGAAAGTTTTTGCTATCAAAGATTAGTCAGAAAAAAATGGAGTTACTGATGACAGATTGGTCTCTCTATTTATATTGGAAAGTAGCTCCTTTAAATGAAGGCAGAGTGGTTGAAGGATTGCAACAACCACTCTTCTGTGGGGTGCACTGGAAGCACACGGGGGCCTTTTTAAGGGTTCCTGGCCTCAGCTCCACCCATACAGGATGATTCAGTTGGCGCAAGATGAAACCCAGACAATCTGTGTATTTTTTAAACTAAATGATAAAAACCATTTCCATAGAGGAAAGACAGCCATTACTTTTCCCAATTTAAAAAAATTTTGTACTGTTTTTAAAGTAATGTATATTTGTAGAAAATTTAGAAAAAAGGTAGTGTAAGAAGAAATAAAAATGACTTAATCCTTCCACTCAAAAATAACCATTCTATAAATATAGTTTAGTATCCTGAATTTGCCATCCTGATGACTGTATTAAAATTTGAACAGGGCTGGGAATTTAGCTCAATGGTGCCGTGCCTGCCTAGTAGGCACAAGGTCCTGAGCTCAATCCCTGGTACCCCCCCAAAAATAAAATAAAATATGAACATATGAAAATTAGTTTTAAATTATTTTAGCCCCTGTGTGTTATGTAACTTTTTTTTTTTTGGTACCGGAGATCGAACTCGGGTCCTTGCGCTTGCGCAGCAGGCGGCGAAACCACTGAGCTAAATCCCCGGCCCAAAAGGTTACTCTTTTTTTTTTTTTGGTACCGGGGATTGAACTCAGGACCTTGCGCTTGTGAGGCAGGCGCCAGAACCACTGAGCTAAATCCCCAGCCATTATGTAACATTTTTGACCATTTATAAGTCCACATGTTGGATGAAATCAGCCATCTAAGATAGAAATTATAGGTGTCAAGAAAGTGATGCCATCATAGGAAATGTTTGTATTTAAAGAGTTACTGTTTATTGCATACAAAAGAACATTTATAATACTGTAAGAAATAAAGAATGATAAAGTCAATAACTGCCTTAGCTTAATAAATGGAACTTGACCGATATTTTAAAGCCTCCTATATGTGCCTCTTTGATCTCATTCTTTTTCTTCTCCTTCCCCAAAGTAACTACTATTAGCGATTTCATGTTTATCATTTTCTTCCCTTTGTCTAGCATCTAGACATAATTTCACGCAACTTTTATTTTTGTGCAAACAACATCATAGTCCACATGTTCCTTGGTGATTTTCTCTTTTTTATCATAATTTTTTATTTTTATTTCTAAAGTAGTCATGCATTAATTTTACTCCTGTTTAGTATTCTGTTGTATGATTGTAGCATAATTTATCTCTTCCCTTGTCATTTGAATGGTTTCCACTTTTTGCTGTTAAGTGCTGAGCTGAGTGAGCATCTTTGTGTAGGCTCCTGGTGCCCAGGAGCAGGAGTTTGTAGGGAATATATGGGGAGGGGGGATTTAGAGTCACAAGATACAGAGTCTCCATGTTAGGAAATAGTGCACGGCAGTTATACCAGTTTACACTCCCACCAGCAGTGTACAAGAATTCCAGATGTTAGACAACAGTATGGACTCCTGATATTGTGCTTGATTTACTTTGCTTGTGATTGAATAGCATTACAGAATCCCTGGTTGTGCAAGTGGAGTGTACAAGGGCTGGGTCATATGCATCACATTCTGCTGAGAGTCCAGCAGAATTGCTCATGTCACATTGAATTCTTCATCCTTAAATGTAATAAAACCTACTTTATATTGATGCTGAGAGATTAGATGGGATGACTGCAAAGTGCTCAGGGAATAGTGCCAAGGCCTTCGGAAACACTCATTGTTCTCTGTTTGCTTTTTCCCACACTTGAGTGATACCAAACATTGACTCTTTTTTTTTTTTTTTGGTACCGGGGATCGAACTCGGGTCCTTGTGCTTGCGAGGCAGGCGGCTGATAAACATTGACTTTTAATTTGAAAGATGATTAATATCCAATGCCATGAAAAAGAGGTCATACACGATATGGTGAAAATATGTATATGTAGCTTTGTTTTTAATCTCAATTGTCTGTTGCTAAACTCTTCAAATAAGTCCCAAACTAGAATTGCCACTTAAAAATTCAATAGGGTCCTAAAATTTTCACCAGCAGAGCTAGTTCTAAATATAGAAAAAATATCAGTGGCTACATACTGTCCCTGTGCTGTAATTTCACTTTATAAAATTGTCAACATAGAAGCACTACAAATCAGTGTGACTTGAAGAAATACATTAAAATTTAAAGCATTTTAGTATTTTTCAGCATTTTTTCAGAAATTTTAAAACATTATTTACTGAGAATGTGCTTACTTATGAAACAATCTCTAGGTAACACTTTGTTTTCTTTTTGTTTTTCCTTTTTGTTTAACTGAAGCTCATCTAGCAACACCAGCCTAACCTGCTTCAGTATCCTGGCTGTTTAGTTTGGGACTAGTGTTAGAATTTTTAAAGTAGTACGTTCTTTTAAATAGAAATGAAAGTATGAAAGACATTCCTTATATGGAATGCTGCTTTGCTAATCCAAATAAAGTAACTTTTAGGATACTTTTTCTAATTATTAAAAAATTTCCCTTTTGAAATTTTAATCTTAGCTTCTGAGTACTTAAGAAGAAAGAAAAAGCTTCCTAGTTTGGTCTGATTCATTCATTCTTTTTTTCTCTCCCTTGAAGGAGTAGACAGTCTCTTAAGGTTCGAGAGCATAAAGTATTGGGACCATATGTAGATGGTTTATCTCAGCTGGCTGTCACTAGTTTTGAGGTAAGTGTCATTTTTGAAAGATGTCATTAAAAACCTGGCAGTAGATCAGAATTTATTACCACATCAGCACAACCCAGAGAGAAAGGGCTTCTAGTCACACTCCAAGCTGGCTTATTGGGAAGGTCTCACTGTGTGGCCAAAACATCCAACTCTTAGAAGTTGCTGAATATTTTCACTAATACTGCTCTGTCGAAACTGTTCTCCCTAGGCTGCCAGTGTCATCTTTCTAAACCAATCTGGTAGTCTAAACAGTAGTATTTGAGAGTTAATCCAACCTCATCTTGTTGACAAGTTTCTCCTGCTTTTGTTTCTATCACACACTTCTGGCTCCTGTTTTTTTTAAATCGATCCTCTCTCCATGCACTTACCATTTCCTGTTCTTTGATTCGAATGTCTGGACTCAATTTTCTGCCCTTATTTCTATAATCATTGTTTTGGAAGTCTCAGAACACAAACTTCTATCTCAGATGCTGAAGAATGTAAATGAATGGACGAATGAACACGTGAATGCCTATATTTACTTTTGCTATCTAAGGGATGTGGCCAATCCATTGCTACCTTAGACTTCTATCACTAATATTAATCTGTGAGCCAACTCTCTCCAGCTATTTAAATGAAGATGTGTATAATATTTCTCCAATGAGGAATAATTTAAAATAGGGCAGGCCTCCATCCCGTGCTCCTAGGGCAGAGAAGCTCAGCCGGTCCCAGCACCCGGGAGGAAGCTCCCTGCCTCCAACCCAGGCTCCTAGAGCAGAGAAGCTCAGCCGGTCACAGCACCCAGAAGCTCCCCACCTCTATCCCAGGCTCCTAGGGCAGAGAAGCTGAGCTGGTCCCAGCACCCAGAAGGAAGCTCCCCCACTGCTACCCCAAGCTCCTAGGGCAGAGAAGCTGAGCCAGTCCCAGAACCCGGAAGGAAGCTCCCCCGGTGCCATCCCAAGCTCCTAGGGCAGAGAAGGTGAGCCATGTGGGCGCCAGAAGCAGCCCCTCCCGTGGAAATGAGAAGACACATAAACAAGTCTCAAAAACAGACTTCTCGATCACCTACAGCAACCCCAAAGGGAAACGAGATGGAACAATCTGATACTCAACCCTGGACTCTCTGAACTGGCAACAAAAGAGGATCTGGGAAAAA